CTCACCTCAGCCTCCCAAGGTGCGGGATTACAGGCTGAGCCACCAAGCCCGGCTCAAAGTTGCGTTTCTAAACTGCCGTCAAATAATGTTGACTCTTCTAGGTCAACCTGAGATACAAATGCTACCTCCTTCCTACAGCCTTCTGTGACCTGGCTCTAAGATATCCTTTCCCTAAGCCCCTTTGCCTTCTGGGTTGTAAAGGAGGAAATGCCTTCCATAGTACCCGCACTACCATCATGGTCCTCTTAGAGTTCATCTAGGCTGAGTGGTGATAGACTTGTCTGAAGTCACAGGGTCGCTTAAAAACACAGCTGGTGCTGGGCGCGGTGGCTTAAGTTTATAATCCCAGAACTTTGGGAGGCACAGGCGAGAGGATTGCCTGAGCCCAGGCGCCGAGATTTCGTGTCTACAATATATTTTTTAAAATTAGGGCAGGCCGGGCGCGGTGGCTCAAGCCTGTAATCCCAGCACTTTGGGAGGCCGAGGTGAGGGAATTAGTTGAGCCCACGGATTTGAGAAAAGCCTGGGCAAGATGGTGAGACCTGATCTGTGCAATGAATCAAAAAAATTAGCTGGGCGTGGAAGCTCGCGCCTGTAGTTCCGACTACTTGGAAGGCTGCGGCGGAAGGATCGCCGGAGCCCAGCAGGTCGAGGCTGCGGCAGCCGTGAGCGTGCCACTGCATTCCAGCCTGGGCGACAGTGAGACTCCGACTGAAAAAACGCGCGCACACGCACAAACACACCCCTAGAACCAGACCCCAGGCTTCCTCTTACGTCCTCTCCTGTATTAACTCCACTAGGAAAGAAGGCACTGGGCGCGAGCAGTGATCCAGCCTGACTCAGATACACATGGATTTGAAGCTAGTCACTTGCCAGCCTCTACGGTCCACACTGTTACTTGTGTTCACCGGGCCACAGTTTTCTGCAACCTGATTCGGGCGGAGCGGTTAAATGTAACACACCTAGGTTAGCGTCTCAGGTTCCTGTTCCTAACAAATGGCCGTCACTTACAAACAAACAAAAAAGCCCTTACAAACTAACAAGCCCAAAGCGGGACTGGTTTTATCCACTAGCCTGAAACCACTAGGACGCCAGACTGGCGCAGGCGCGGGGAACTCCGCCAGGGGCCAGTCCAGCTGACGCGCCTACTCCACGCCGGCGACGGCGGTTCCAGGCTCGGGAACCTAACCTGACGTGGCGGGGCGGGACTTCCGGCGGGAGGCGGACGTGGAGCGACAAACGCGAGCTGGTGGGTACGGTTGACGGAGGTCGCCTGGACCAGGGGCGCGGGCCGTAGAGGCGAGGCCGACCCTGGGCTCTACTGCCGCCTCGTCGCGCTCCCGAGACGCCGACCTACGTTGCAGGATGGCTCGGGGCGAGCGGCGGCGGCGCGCGGCGCTGGCAGAGGGTACGCGGACCGCCGAGAGGGCGGCTCGGAGCGGCCCCGGGCGACGCGACGGCCGGGGCGGCGGGGCCCGTGGCGCGGCCGGGGGCGTGGCTCTGGCCGTCGTAGTCCTGTCTGTGGCCCTGGGCCTGTCGGGGCGCTGGGTGCTGATATGGCCCCGTGAGCGGCGGGCGGTCACGCTGCACTCCGCGCCTCCTGCACTGCCCCTCGACTCCTCCCGCCCCGCTGTGGCCCCGGACCTCTTCTGGGGAACCTACCGCCCTCACGTCTATTTCGGCATGAAGACTCGCAGCCCGAAGCCCCTCCTCACCGGTAACCGGGCCCAAGGGTGGGCAGGCAGGATGCCCCAGCCTCGAGCCAGAGCAAGGGTGGGGAGGAGCGGAGCCGAGTTAAGAGAGGGTTGACCCTGAAGTTCTCGGAAATCCAAAGGGACAGGTCCCCTGCTCTCTGACTTACGTGGTCATTCTACCCCCAGGACTGATGTGGGCGCAGCAGGGTACCACCCCGGGGACCCCTAAGCTCAGGCACACGTGTGAGCAGGGGGACGGCGTGGGTCCCTATGGCTGGGAGTTCCACGACGGTCTCTCCTTCGGGCGGCAACACATCCAGGATGGGGCCTTAAGGCTCACCACTGAGTTCGTCAAGAGGCCCGGGGGTCAGCACGGAGGGGACTGGAGCTGGAGAGTGACTGTAGAGCCTCAGGTCAGGGCCTCAGGACACCCTTTTCTCAGCCCAGACTCCCTCCATCCTTCCCTTGCTGCCTGCAAATGCAGCGTGAAGTCGGGGTTAACAACAGGGGTCTGAGTCTGGCTGCCTGGTTTAAATCCTGCCGCAAACACTTGCCGGCTGGACCATCTCTATTTACCGTCGCTAAACCCTGATTTTCTTCTTTGTATTGTGGAGATAGTAATAGCAACCAACTCAGGATTGCAAGAATTAAACGAAATAAACTGTAGTGTTCTTAGCGTAGCACACAGCACAAAAGTACTTTATTATCTCCAGAGCACCCTGTGCAAGTCTCTTTTCCATCTTTTCCCATCCCACTGGTGTACCTGCTACCCTCATGACCCTCAGCACTGCCAGATGTATGTTGTTGACCACATTACTCCTGCCTGGCATCCCTTTCCCCCACTAAGGCTGATAATGAGAGAATGCCAATCTAATGCTGTTCTTCTCTGTTTTCCTTGGTCACTCAGGCCTCAGGTACCTCTGCCCTCTCTTTGGTCTCCCTGTTCTTCTATGTGGTGACAGATGGCAAGGAAGTCCTACAACCAGAGGTTGGGGCCAAGGGGCAGTTGAAGTTCATCAGTGGGCATACCAGTGAACTTGGTGACTTCCGCTTGATGCTTCTGCCACCAACCAGTCCAGGGGATACTGCCCCCAAGTATGGCAGGTAACTGGGGGAAGAGTGTGGGGTGGTGGTAGGGGTAGTTTGGATGCTGACTTAGCCTGATTTCTACCTCCCCACCCTACCTTCTTTCTACCAATTATTTCCATTCTCATCGGTCTCCATGTTCCCTGCATAAGACTTTCCAACCTGACTCCCGATCACTTCATATTTCCCTTCATAATCTCCATCATCTCGTCCTGAATAATATTTATTTTTCTTCTTCCCTTCAAGCTACAATGTCTTCTGGTCCTCCAACCCAGGACTGCCACTGCTGACAGAGATGGTAAAGAGTCGTCTAAACCACTGGTTTCAACATCGGCCCCCTGGGGTCTCCCCTGAACGCTACCTCGGTTTGCCAGGATCTCTGAAGTGGGAGGACAGAGACCCAAGTGGGCAAGGGCAGGGACAAGGGCAATTCTTGATACAGCAGGTGACACTGAAAGTCCCCTTTTCTGTGGAGTTTGTGTTTGAATCAGGCAGTGCCCAGGCAAGAGGAAACCAAGCCCCAGGGCAGCTGGCAGGAAGCCTATTGACCCAGGCCCTGGAGCGCCATGCTGAAGCCTTTAGAAAGCGCTTTGAGAAGACCTTCCAACTGAAGGAAAAGGGCCTGAGCCCTGGAGAGCAGGTTTTGGGTCAGGCTGCCCTCAGTGGCCTTCTTGGTGGGATTGGCTATTTCTATGGTCAGGGCCTGGTGTTGCCAGACTTGGGGATGGAAGGGTCTGAGCAGAAGGTGGACCCAGCCCTCTTTCCACCTGTCCCGCTTTTCACAGCAGTGCCATCCCGGTCCTTTTTTCCACGAGGCTTCCTTTGGGATGAGGGCTTTCACCAGCTGGTGGTCCAGCGGTGGGATCCCCACCTCACCCGGGAAACCCTAGGCCACTGGCTGGGGCTGCTTAATGCTGATGGCTGGATTGGGCGGGAGCAAGTACTGGGGGATGAGGCCCGAGCCCGGGTGCCTCCAGAATTCCTGGTGCAACGGGCAGCCCACGCCAACCCCCCGACCCTGCTTTTGCCTGTAGCCCACATGTTAGAGGGTGGTGACCCAGCTGACTTGGCCTTCCTCCAAAAGGCATTCCCCCGTCTGCATGCCTGGTTCTCCTGGCTCCATCAGAGCCAGGCAGGCCCCGTGCCACTCTCTTACCGCTGGAGGGGACGAGACCCAGCTTTGCCAACCCTACTGAACCCCAAGACGCTGCCCTCAGGGCTGGATGACTACCCTCGGGCTTCTCACCCTTCAGCCACTGAGCGGCACTTAGACCTGCGGTGCTGGGTGGCACTGGGCGCCCGTGTGCTGACACAGCTAGCAGAGCAGCTGGGAGAGGCTGAGGTGGCTGCCGAGCTGGGCCCGCTGGCCGCCTCACTAGAGGCCGAAGAGAGCCTGGATGAACTGCATTGGGCCCCAGAGCTAGGAACATTTGCAGACTTTGGGAATCACACAAAAGCAGTACAGCTGAAGCCCAGGCCCCCTCAGGGGCTAATTAGGGTGGTGGGCCAGCCCCCACCTCGCTTGCAGCATGTGGACGCCATGGGCTATGTCAGTCTTTTTCCTTTGCTCCTGCGGCTGCTAGACCCCAACTCATCCCGCCTTGGGCCTCTGCTGGACATTCTAGCTGACAGGCGTCATCTCTGGAGCCCCTTTGGTTTGCGATCCCTTGCAGCTTCCAGCCCGTTTTATGGCCAGCGCAACTCAGAGCATGACCCTCCCTACTGGAGGGGTGCTGTGTGGCTTAATGTCAACTACCTGGCCCTGGGGGCACTCCATCACTATGGGCATCTGGAGGGTCCCCATCAGGCCCGGGCTGCCAGACTCCACAGTGAGCTTCGTGCCAATGTGGTGGGCAATGTATGGCAGCAGTACCAGGCTACAGGTTTCCTGTGGGAGCAGTACAGTGACCAGGATGGGCGGGGCATGGGCTGCCGCCCGTTCCAGGGCTGGACCAGCCTTGTCTTACTGGCCATGGCCGAAGACTACTGAAGGGAAAGACATGAGGGGAGCCAGTCCACTTGTGCCACTCTGGCAATCTGGAAGGACAAAGTCTGGCTTCTGCCCCCAGCCCCTCAAATACCAAACCTTTCATCTCAGGTGTCTCCTTACTGTCATCCCATACAGCCCTGGGGTGAATGTGAATTCAGAGTCTATTTTTCTAAATAAATTGGAAAAAACATAACTAATGCTATTGCTTTTGCCACCAAGAGGGCCTAGCTCATAGCTCAGTTCAGGCGTCAATGCTGCCTGTTATCTTCAAGGTAGGTGGAGTTAATGACCATTACCTGCCCTTTCAAACCCAGTCAGGTCAAGTGCAGTGTAGTGAATTGAGCTCTAGTCCACCCAAATCCACAAGCAGCTGGTTCACATCTCTTTAATGAGATCAAAGGCTCCTGTGTATGTCTTGAGGGGTAGAGCTAGCACAGTCCCCCAAATACTGCCCCTCTCCTCAGGGCTCCAGCCCTTTCAGGCATATTCTAGGAGGGAAGGGAGGGGCCAAAGAACTCAAGGAGTTGGGCCCCAGGGCTGTTTCTGCTGGGCAAATAACCCACCCATCCTCCCAAAACTACTTATGGGATGTCCTCTTTACTGGAAACCAACCCCAAGGGGGACACCTGGGGCACCAAATCTGGGGACAGTGCACAAGGGGAGTAGTCCTCCAGATCTGGCAGGGTACCACCAGCCCTCACCTCCTTGACCAGCTCACCCTCACCGGAGGCAGGACAAGGGCAGAGCTCAATACCTGAGTCACCAGTCAGGCGGCGATAGCGGCAGGAGGCAGGTGTGGGGGCAGGGCTCACCCCTGCTACAAGCTCACCCTCCTGATAAGGGGGGGCACCCTGGTGGGAGGAAACACCTTCCCCATTTGTTCCCTCACAGTGGGCAGAGCAGCTGGATGAGGAGGAGCAGCAGGCTGGTTCACTGGAAGCAGTCAAGGGGCAGCCTGGGGCCACCGTATAAGGAGGTGGCGGTGTGCCTGGGCGGAGAACCACATCCTCGTAGGCTGGGGGTTTGAAGGCGCTGAGGAGGCCTGCAGGGGAGAAAGTTGGCATGATAGGTTAAAGGCAACCAGGGATGGGGTGGTGGTTCTTGCATTACGGAAGAGTGCTTTTGAGTATCTGGAAAAGGGAACGTGGAATGATTTGGGTCCTGGTTGGGGAAGGGCCACTGGTAGTGGGCCTGAGCCTCGAGTCACTCACGAAGGTCAAGCAGGGAACTGGTAGGGGCAGGGCCAGCCCCGTGGCATGCCCTATGGTAGGCCAACAAGTTGATCTCACGCTGCCGCTGCTGTTGTTGCAGCCGGAGTTTAGCTCGTCGGTGGCGGAGGGCACAACAGCAGCTAAAGAGGATGAGGACAGTCCAGAGGAGGAGCCAAAACCCTGCAAGAGGCAAAGAAGGAGTGACCCAAACACCTTCAATACAGAGCAGGGCCCTTAAAGGCTGAAATTCTGAGATCCGAGGGAGGGTAGGCAGAGGGACCTGAGAACAGCCCTCTTGGAGACTCACACCAGAGCTCATAGTAGTAGGTACAGCAGCCAGTCTCCCCGCAGCAGTGACCACTCTCGCAGAGGTAGGGCTGGTTGTTCGCTCCTGGGCATAGCTCTCGAAGCTGGGGGCAAGGAGGCACTTAGAACTAAGGGAGATTCCAGCCCAAGGCACCATCCACCCCACCTCCTGCATCCACATGCACAATCCCACCCTGTGAACCAAGATCAGCTTGGAGAGATGGGGGGAGTGGAGGACACAGAGAAGCGTTCAAATATCTGAAGGACTGTCAACCTGGAAGAGGGTTTGGAATAGCAAAAATCAGTCTAGAGAACATGACACAAAGTGTGGACATACAAAGAGGGAGATTTCAGCTCTGCATATATAAAACGTCCTTCACACTCAAGTCTGCCCACCTCTCCCCCGGTGTTTTCTGAGGATGTGTTTTAGCAGTTGTCAGAGAAGATAGTCTGAGCCATCTCAGTCTCAGACAATGGATAGGTGTTTAAGGTCATTTCCAAAGCTAAGTTGCTTTCATCATCCCGCACAGTCCACTGCCCCCCAGCCCTCAGCTGGCTCTTTCCACCCCTGGGCCTCAGGCTCCCTAGGGCAGAGGAGGGGCAGTGTGAGACCCAGAGCAGTGCTCCCAACCAGATGGGATTGCTGTGGATGATAAAGGATGGCATCCAGGGCGCGAGTCTGGGTTCCAGCTCTTCTCCAAATTGCTCCCTCAAGAGAAGACGCTGCCGGACTCTGTTGTGACAATAGGCACATAGAAAAACATCACAAATAACTGTTGCAAGACAGAGGGAGCCTCCCTGGGGCCTCACTATGCCTCTCGTCACTGGAGAGCCACTGCAAGCCTCCACTGCGGCCATGGGATGGGGTCTATGAGGCTGCAGTAAAGTCAGTAGCATCTACGTTACGAAGTTTAGACCAAGAACGGAAGGGACATATTTAGGAACTTCACAGTGCCTTGGCTCCGTGAGTTCCTCCCCACTCTCAAAAGGAAGGGACAAGGAAAGGGGAAAGAGAAATAAATGGCTGTCGTTACAGGCTTCTGGAGGTGTTGGGATACCTGCTGTTGCGGCGCCCGAAGTGCCCCCCAGGCCTCCTCGCTGCCGTTCCCGATGCTGGCCCGAGCCATGCCTCCACCTACAGCCCCCTGAAGACCACAGCCTCCTCTACCGCCAGCCGCCCCGCCCCTGCCACCTCTGCCGCCACAGCCATGGTCCCTGCCCGGCCCATCTTCGCCGCCGCCACCACCATCACTCTCCATCCGGAGAGCTCCGCCAACTGGGGCCCAGATTGCTTTGCCCTGCCAATCAACATCGCCCTTCGACGGACCGGCCAATAGGAGCAGACCAGGGGGCTTCTCCCCCGTGACCAATCCGCAGCAGCGCCTCTGCCGCTCGCCCAGACAAAGAGTGGCGAGAGGTTCGACCCACGGGCTCTGACTGGCAGCGGCTACAGCCAATACAGACAACGGAATGGGCTTCGACTCCGCAACCACCGAACGGCCTGCCAGGAGAGCAAAGTTCCTGCTGATTGGTTTGCGCCGTATTTTCGGAGTGACGCCAATGCCGGACCAACCCAGGTAATCCCGGCTGGAAGAGATCCTACAAGTCAGTCCGAGTCTGGACGCGAACCGGCTGGGCTTCTTGCGGTAGCTTCCAAACCCCTGCGGTGGGCGCAAGCTCCGACGGGGGCTTGATGTGGATACCGGAGACCGGTCTGCCCATCCCCTCTCCCCCAATTCTGTACAAGCCGAAGCACCGGATGTAATTTAATAGGGTGGGGGAGACACTGAAAACGGGGCACGGGAGAGGGCGCAGAGTCCAGGCCAGGCAAGGGCCTTAAGTAGCCAAAAGAGGGGATCCAGGGCCCTCGAGCCCCCGCAGCCGCAACTGCAGGTTGATGCGGTAGCACTGAAGACTGCAGAGCGCCTGGCCCGTGCGAGAGCAAGCATAGCGGCGCGGGTGGGGGCATCCAGGGACGGAGCAGCGCGGAGGAGGGCCGGATGGGGCTGGCCGCTGGGACACAGCCACCGGGGCGGGGACGCCAGGTGGAAAGGAGAGAGTGGAACCCTGTGCCCCGCTGCTGT